GAAGGGACAAAAAAGTAATAAACAGAGCAGCAAGGAGTGACAAAAGCTCTTTCAGACCCAGGACGGGCCTCATGGAATGCAAGCGCGTCGCAGGGCCGCGAGCCCTCCGCGCGCTGCGAGCCTGCTTTCGACGTCCCGCCCCTGTATTGCAGGCCTGAGGCTTATTGGGCCTGTCCGCTGGTCTGTCTGGGCTGTCATCTTTGGCCAAGCCAGCCTGAGTCGTTGACTTGGCTATTAGACACGTTTCCTTCTTCTTGGCTTGGTGCCCGCCCTTTTCGCCGACTCGCCAGGAACACCAGGAGCTTGAGATGGTATCCGTTGGGTGCTCTTCTCCATATGAGAGCCCTAGTCGCCACCATATATATATCCTATCAACCTAAGCTCCGCTCATTAGTGCTTAAATGTCAAGCACTGTGCCTGATTTAGCTCTGCGTTTCTCCAAACCCTTAATAGATAACCAGTCTTTTAGACAAGAAATTTGGCCATCCCAATTCCTGATTTCGGTCGAAAAGCACCAGAATTCTGAAAGACTGGAAGAGCCTTAGATTGTCCATTCTGGGTGTCTCTTGCTTTGCTGGCATTTTCCACTGAGGTTATTATTCCGGGGAACCCAACGGGAGCCTAGCAGATGTGAGGGCAGACAATAGTCAGTGACAACTAGGACAGGCCCATACGCCACTGACATGCAGACTCCAAGAGGCCGTTGTCTGCTGCTTCAGGCGCAGAGCTAACACCCCACTTGCAGTCTATCCAGGACAACACATAACGTGATACCTAACCCTCACGGCCGCACTAGTGTCTGTTCCTCGTTCCTCTGCTCAGGGTGGGGCTGACTGAGACCTGCCGGTCTTAGCCCTGAGAGCCCTGCGCTGTCCCCCCCAGTTTCGTGCACGTCATGACGAAGGAGAGAAGTATGACTGTGTATCTTCCCCTGATGGGTGTGTGATGGTCGGTCAATAATTCTGCGACCACAAACTGCCTGAATGAGTGGGAGCGGGTGGGCAGAGTCTGGCTGTCTATTGGGCTTCTACTGCAGTGTGCCCCTAACGCCATTTTGCCAGATTCTCAGGGTTGTGGTGCCTCCCTAGCACGCCCAAGAAGTGGTCAGACTCTTGAAAATTCAGTTACATCAAACTTCCGCAACAGCGGCGCCCTTAAAGGGTGACAATGAATTAAAACCGCTCTAAGGGCCCAGCCTTGGTGGCTCACCCTGTAATCCTAACCCTGCATCTGGGAGGCAAGGTGGGAGATTGCTTGAGCTAAGCAGTCCAGACCCCCAGCCTGAGCAAGAGCGCCAACTGCCAACTGCCGTCTATACTATAAATAGAATGAAATTAGCAGACCAACATAAATGAAAAATTACCGCCAGCACGAATGTGTGTGCCGTGTAGTCAGCCCACGCTACTCCGGACCTGCCACAGCGGAGGTTTGCTGGAGCCCAGACAGTTTCGCAGAGTTTGCGCAAGAACGTATGCGGACGTGCTCACAGCATCTTACTTAGGGTGCATTAGGCACATAAAGAATTGAAGACACTTTGTCGTATAAAAAAGAAAAAAGAAAAAGGGAAAAGAACAGAAAGAATAAGTCGTCTTCCAAACAGTTCGCCACCGGAAAAAAGTTAACATGATTGTGAATTCATACCCAGCACCAAACTTATGTTAGTCATGTTGTGGATCACGACATTTTCATGATATGAATTGTGGGGTCTCACCCAACGACTCTTCAGACCGGTAGCGCAAGTTGAAGGTTCTGAAATGCAACGTTCCAACGAGATGTGCACATGCCACTACTGGGAGCCGAAGAGCACAGAAGGATGAAGAGCAGTAACAAACTCGGGGCTGCCCTTGCGACCTCCAGAAGTCCAAAATTCTCATTGACATGTTAGTGCTTATCCAAGAAAATGCGCTCCTGGTGTGGAGTCTCAGAAATGAACAGCAGAGCCTCTGGGGTAGTTATTAGCACCTTTGGTCCTTTTCATGTTACGCGAGATCAGCAGTAGAAGGGATTTTGGCCTATGACAAGGATCAGCCGCCTTCTCAGTGTAGGTTGCTGGCAAGCAGGCAGAGGAGCTCTGATTGTGGGGCGAGAAGCATTTGCGTTATAAGCTCTTGCCAGAATTTGTCGCACTAGTTTATTCTACCTTGTCTTAGCTAGTTTCGCTCAGGGAGGAAATAGTATATGACACACTTGCAGGGAATTGTCTGTATGTCCTGAATACGGTTCCTCAGAGAGAGAGTACTTTCTCTAGTAATGAAACAGTAGTAATAGGGCCATTACTGAAAAGGATGCCTGGCATTGAAAGCCGAGTTGGGTACAGCGTTAAAATGTGGTGAAGAGGCTATAACACGCTTTAGTTGTTAATGTTACTAGCATTATTCTTGGGAGGTCACATATACCGAGCGGCAGTTGGATCTGCTTCAAGGTCGAAGAGGAAAAAGTTCAAAATGGAGCCTGAGAGAGAATGCCTCTAAATCCGGCTCTACGAAAATATTATGTTCAAGCTGATATTATTAATGACCAGCTAAAATACAGAAGTAGACCAGATAGAAAATTGCCTGGTGCATTGGTGGTTAGTTGCAATGCCATGAGGTTCCCAGGCTACTCTGGGGCGCTTTCGAACATGGCAGGAGCTCTCATATGCTTGAGCCCAGAAGAATTGAGGTTGCTGTGAGCAGGCTTGATGCCACATACTCACTCTAGTCTGGGAAATCAACCGCAGACTTGTGTCTTAAAAAAAAAAAAAAAAAAACTCGTCTAGGCCAGAAGGATTGAAAAACGTGGAAGCCACCTGTAGGAATGCTTACTGTGTTATCAGTTTGAGAGCGCTCAAAACCGTAATACATAAACCGAGAGCCTTGAAAGAAGTTAATACTGGGGATGGAGAGAGAGAACCATTTGGGAGGAGGACTGCAGAGAAGCTCTGTCCGATATTCTTGGAGCCGTAGTGGACGAGCGACGTACCTATACGCATAAAGGTGGCATAATGCAGCTGTGCGCGTTCGTCCCTATGCAGGAGAAGGAACGCTGGGCAGGGAAGGGCACTTGATCAGATAGCTAAAGAAGAATTGGAGCTTTACTAGTCACACTCTGGGCTGAGCCTGAGCGCCTGCGCCAACAGGAGGTAAAGGCGAAGGGAACATTGTGAACGGCCTGGCTGGGGGCTGCCAGCGTGACCCCACAGACACAGCCCCGCGGCAAAGATGGGAGGTTTAGGGTGTTCAGCCATCCCAGGAAATCTCAGACAGGGCATTGCTGACCACTGAGTACAGCCCTGCGTGTGCCCAAAACTTTACACCCAAGCACGTAATGCGCAGGCGTTTAGGAGGCTACGTGAGTGGGAAGGTAATTCGACCATGAGAAGTGCCCAGAAGCAGATTGACTGAGCATTTACCATACTGCGAGCAACAACCACCCATATTGAGACACCTATCTCTACAAACACTAGGTCAGGGAAGAGAGTCAAGACAGACAGAGAGAAACAACATTCGAGTATTTGGAATGTCTAACTGTTAAACCGCATTTCGAGGCTTGCAAAAGACAAGAAGTTTGGCCCATACAGAGAAAACTATCAGTGGAAACCGAAGAATCCTAATGGAAAAATGTAGATCATAGTACGTTAAATCAGCTCATCTTATATCATAGGTCGTGTTTGTTTCACCGAGAGAAGGCCTGGAGGCACACGGGCGTTGTAACAGATCCTGCGCTTAAATCTACCCTGGGAGGACCGAGAGGAGGATCACTTCAGGTCAGGAGTTGAGACCAGCCCTTCAAGCAAGAGGGAACAGACCCCACTTCCACGCCAACCACCAGAACATTCAGCCCCGGTTTTCTGGCACACACCTGTAGTCCCAGCTACTTGGGAGGCTGAGGCAGGAGGATTGCTTGGGCCTAGGAGCTTGAGGTTGCTATGGTGATATCAGGGCAACAGAGCAAGACTCCCTCAAGAAAAAAGAAGAAAGAATGAGTGAACGTGGAGATGGGTCAACTTAGATTGTCCCCTTTGAGGAACGGACACAAGAATGAAACACCACAGTCAGAGCGTGGTGAGACACCATCAAACATTACAAGAACACACATGATGTGAGTGCCTGTAAAGACGACACATGTGAAGCACTAGAAGGAAAATTTGAAGAAATAATGGCTGAAAAGTTGCCCCAAATGAGGAAATACATTAATGTACACATCCAAGAAGGCAGGGCGTGTTGGCTCACGCCTATAATCCTAGCACTCTAGGAGGCTGAGGCGGACAGATAGTTTGAGCTCAGAAGTTCCAGATCAGCCTGAGTGAGAGCCAAACTGCATCTCTACTAAAAGAAAAATAGAAAGAAATTAACTGGACAAGTTAATATATATATATATTACACAGGTTTGGTGGCGCATGCCTCTCAGTTACTCAGGAGGCTGAGGCAGGAGGATCGCTTGAGCCCAGGAGCCTGAGGTTGCTGTGAGCTAGGCTGATGCCACGGCACTCTAGCCTGGGCAACAGAGTGAGACTCTATCTCAATAAAAAAAAATTATATAAATCCAGGAAGGTCAAAGTCCAAGGAGGGTAAAGTCAAAGCAGTCTACACCTACCCACGCCATAAACTGTCAAAGGACAGAGAAGTCTGAAAGCAGCAGCGCCTCACAGGCAAACGTCGTCAATAACATGAACATCAGATTGGTAATCAAAACCATGGAGGCCAGAACGCAGTGGAGGACAATATCCACAGGAAGTAACTGGGATCCAGTAACTGTGGGATCCTGTGTAATCCCGGCTCTGGCTCCGCCAGTTGGCCTGTCAGGGTGACTGGGGAGCTCTGCGGACACCTGTTGCCTCCCGATGGCCAGATTCAGACTTGGCCCAGCCAGGCCAGAGCACAGGGGTCTGGGCCCCAGCATAGCCGGGTGACGGCCCTGAGACTTCCTGACAGCAACCTCCAGATGGCAGAGTCCACCCCCCCCCAGAAAACTGAGAAGCGGGACACTGTGTGCTGGGGCTGCATGTGTGTGTGTGTATATGTGTGTGAATACATGTGCCTTGAATCTGAGTTGGTGCTCATGTATTGTCTGAGTGTGCATGGTTTTGAGTGTGTAAATGTGTGTGCCTGTGTGTGAGCACGTGGGTAAGTATCTGGACGAGTAACAGGGTGTGTGATCCGGGTGTCTGTGCGTGTGCGTGTGCAGCGTGGAGTAAAGGCACTCGCCCCTTGGTCCCTCTGAACATCACACCTCTCTAAGCCCAAGGCAGGTGCAGATGACAGGCAAGGGGGTGGAGGCCTCTCAGAAACAGGCAGGTGAGGTGGGCTAAGGACAAGGACAGGTTGTGGGGGGAGCTCATGAGCACATGATGGGGAGAGGTGGGTGGCAAGGTCCAGTCAGACCAGGGCTCTCCCAGGAGCCTGTGCAGAGCTGGGGAGTTGGAGGTGGGGAAGGGGGGCTGCTCCTCCTGCCCGACCTGCTCCAGCCCCTGCCCTTGGGTAAGCACCTGGGGACGGGAGCAGCCACAAGGACCTCTGGATCCATCCTCGCAGCTACCCTGCCCTGCCCTGGCCCTGAACCCTGTGCCAGCACAGTCAACACAACGAGTTGGCTCACAGCACAGGGCAAAGGCCAGCGTCACCTGCCTTCATAAGGAAACAGCACAGACTGTTTGGGCACTCAGGGTGTGCCAGGAGGCTCCTGCCTGGGCCTAGGAGCGTGGACTGCTGGAGTGACAGGAGTTACTGGAGTCCAGTGGACAGGCAGCCATGGGATTGATGACAGGGGACCTGCTGGCACCCCTGGGTTTGGCCGTGGCCATCTTCCTGCTCCTGGTGGACCTCATGCACCGGCGCCCACGCTGGGCTGCACGCTACCCGCCAGGCCCCATGTCACTGCCGGGGCTGGGCAACCTGCTGCAGGTGGACTTCCAGGACGTACCCTACTGCTTTAGCCAGGTGAGGGAGGTGGTGGTGGAACGGTGCAGGGCCCTTGGCACCCCACCCCCAGCAGGAGACGTGGGTGGTGGGTAAGACACAGTCTGCATAAGGAGCTGGGCCCAGAGAGGAAGCAGGTGTGAGGGTCTCCCTGGGGAGGGCATTTGTGCAGGCCCTGAGGGACAGTCTGGATTTTCCAAAGGAAAAGGTCTGGGAGGGCAAAGGCCTAGACTTTAGGCGGGACTGGGCAGTAGGTTTGCAAGCCCGTTGGACAGCACAGAAAAGGGAAGCCCCAAGTCCCTTCTGATGAAACAGAAGGAAAGTTCTGGGGAATGGGAGGGAGGTCAGTGTCCTAGGCACCATTTAAATAAGAAAACTGGGGTGGAGAGAGGTTCAGGGACCCAGTTGAAATGTTTTGTTGCTGTTGGTCCATTGGCCTCAAGCTCACCTCCTTAACCCTCAGTTTCCTGATCTGTAAAATGGGATGATAATGGGCCTACTGTCAATTTCGGTCATTCTTTCAGGTCAGACATAGCTAAGTTGTTGGATGCAAACTGAGCTCCTCAAATGTAGAGAATGTGACCCCCGGATCTGGAGTGCACATTTTGTCCTTGAAATGGTGGGCTACCACAGGCCCCAGGTTCTCACAAGGCGTTATGGTGAGCCCCGAACCAGCAGCCAGGGACCCTGGCTTCATGGACGCCCCACCCTCGTCCTACAGCTGCGGCGCCGCTTCGGGGACGTGTACAGCAGCCTGCAGCTGGCTCCAAAGCCGGCGGTCGTTGCTGCAACGGGCTGGAGGCCGTTCGCGCGAAGGCGCTGGTGAGCTACAAGAGGACCTGCCGACCGGGCGCCTTCGTCCGTCTCTCAGCACCTGGGCCACAGGCACACGCGAGGCACGTGAGCACAGCCACTGCGCTGCGAAACGGGGCAAACGAGCATTTCGCAGATGACCGATTCTGGGCGAGTGGGAACCAGACCGTGGACTAGGCACGGAGAAGAAGAGGCAGTGGGTGGTTGGGAAGAGCAGGGCAGGGAACAGCCTGCGTGGGGGGAGACCCTGGGGGGCGGTTGGGCCAGAGGGGCGACTCACAGCGGCCACGCGGGGGCGTCGCACTCGGTTGTGGGCGGGCGGGCAGGCAGCCGTTCCTCCGCTGGAAGGAACCGGGTTCAGGGCGCGCGAAGGGCAAAACAGCCTTGGGCCCAGGCCTCCCGACGGAACCCACAGCCGGGCGACCAAAGTGGAGAAGCAAGAGCCGGACCCCAGAGTCAGGGTCAAGGTGGGCGGGCCAAAGCCCTCGGGAAGCGGAAATGGGAAAGTTGGGCGGGGCAGAGTATTTCGGGCCGCCCCGCCTCCCCTGCCCCCGCCAAGGGTGATCAATGGCGCGTTTACGGCCCGCGTGGCGCGAGCAGAGCGGCGCTTTCTTGTCCGACTCTTGCGCTTCTCGGTCTGGGCAAGAAGTGCTTGGAGCTGTGGTGATCGAGAGGCGCATGCCTCTGTCGCCTTCGCGAACACGCCTGGTAGTGACCGGGGCAGGGGCAAGGTCGACCGGGAGGTGGGCGGCGGAGAAAGCACCTCCCTGAACCCAATGCGCCCCAGCACAAGCCTTTAGCCCCAACGCGCTGCTGTACAAAGCGGTTGGGGCAAAGTGATCGCGTCCTTCACCCTACGGGCGCGCGCTTGCGAGAGACGACCAGCGCTTTCCTTCAGGCTAATGGAATTGGTGAAGGAGCGAAGTCAGCAGCACTCTGGCTCCTGATTGCAGGTATCAGGGCGGGAGCCATGGGTGCTTAGGAGTTGGTTGCAGGGCGAGCCTCCAGGCAGGTTGCCTCCACCTGCAGCTTGGGGCCTCCATGGAGGAGGGTTTTGCACACAGAGGCCAGGGAAAGGGCATTTCCTGGAGAGCCCATGCAGAGCAGAGCAGGAGGAAGGCAGGAGGAAATCTCAGACAAAGGCTAATAGGAGAGGTTTGTACGCCAGGGTGGTGGACCCAGAAGAGGGCAAAGGAGGCGGGCTTCAGAAATATTCGGACCAACCCAGCCGCATGAGATTTCTCTTAGGTTTGTCCTATGTGTACCAGGGCCAGGAGACAGTGTGGAGACTCCATGTGGGAGGGGACCAGTCCAATGGTTGGCCAGGCAGGTTGGTGGCACCTTTTTGGGTTTGGAAGACTGTGCGAGTGAAATGCTGAGCACAGGAAGGACGCCAGAACGTTGTGGCTGGCACAGGTTGGTGATTGGCTCTCCCCAGTGCGTCCGTGCACATTCATGGTGCTGGCAAGGTTGATCTCTTGCCCAGAAGGTTTCATGGCCTTGCTTGGATGAGTTGGTGACGAGCACCAGATCACCGGACCCGGCCCAGACCGCCCGAGACCTGACTGACGCTTCCCTGGCCGAGGTGGAGAAAGGTGAGGGCGACTTGACAGAGACAGGACAGAGGTCCGGCTCCTGGGATCCCTGAGGAGTGAGGCGAGGCCAGGCATGGATGGAGGCTGGTGCACACCCTTACTGAAGCAAGGCTGGAAAAAAAAAAAAAACCAGGAACAAAATGCAGCATGAGGGGTTCTTTGGGGCTCCTCTCTGCCCCCCCTGAACCCACCTCTGTGCCCGGTCAGGCAAAGGGGACCCCGAGAGCGCTTTCAACGATTGATAACCTGGCTGGTGGATGGCTGACCCTGTTTCTCGCTGGGTGGAGACCCTCCTCCGACCACCGCTGGCCTGGGCACTCTGCTCATGATCGTGCACCGATGTGCAGCGTGAGCCGGCTGCGTCTGGTGGGGGGCCGGAGGGAGGAGAGGTAACAGCAGGGCCCGAGCTTCCAAATTCTGAAACCAGGCCAAGCCAGCCGAGCCCGGACGCTCTTCTAAGGTGACCTTCTCTCAGGTGGCCCC